TCCTGAGTGCTCCTGCACAGCAGTGAGGGCGCTTCCTTCTAAAGGGCGCGGAGGCCCTGGGCCCAGGAAGCGACTGCACCTTTTCCTACCACTCGAGACACCCGAGAGAATAGATCTCCGCGAGGCTGCGGAAAGGGCGCGCCAGGGAAGGGGAGGGATGTACCTACCTAATTAAGTAGGGATTGTAGCCCTTGACCTCGGTCATCGGGTGTAATATAAAAGTTGTACACTTAACGCGGGTCAGACTATTGCTTGGAGCTCTGTGCGCCCTGTAAACCCTGTTTTAATGGGATAAGTACATAGGTTCAGAGAGGCTATGTGGCAGCCAAGTCACACAGCTGCCAAGGGGTGAAGATAGGATTTGAACCCACAGAGTCCTACTGTAGGTTTACACAGAAGAAAATCTCAGATAAGACACCCAAATGCCTTCTTTATGTTCCTTAAAAATCAGCTAGAAAAATTTAATTGTTTTTGTTTTCATAACAGGATTCTGAGGATCACAAAAAAGAAACGGTATGCTTGCTCTGCAATAAAACTGGTTGGGAGAGGCCGGTGGACAGTGCCTCCTCGTCGACCTCACTACTTTTACAGGGAAGGGGGATTCACTGGGAGGGATTTCACACAGTGTGGTGCAGTCCTCAGACTGGTGATTAAGTCTGGGGAAAGCTGCATTGGTCTAATAGTGAGCGTGAATTTCTGCGAGCCGTCAGCCCACGCGTCTACCGTCAGTTTTCTGTTGCTGTAACAAAATACTTGAGTCTGGGTAATTTAGAGAGATTTATTTTGGCTCGCAGTTCTGGAGGTTTGTTAGTCCAAGAGCACCGTGCCAGCTTCTGCTCAGATCCTGGCAAGGGACCAGCACCACCCCAAATCCCTGAGGGAAACAGGAGGCACCTGAGGAAGAAGGAGAGCAGAGGGGACTGTAACCCCACTCTAGCTAGAGCAGAACTAACTCACAGCAGAACTCCATTCAATGAGGGCTTTCCTATTCCAAACACCTCCCAAGAGGGCCCACCTCCCAACACAGCACTGAGGAATCAAAGTTCCAAACCATGAAGTTTTGGAGGACATATTCAAACCATAGAACTTCCCTTTGGATTGAGTTTGGTGGCAATCTTACAGCGTTCAGCTTTAGCAAGACTCTTACTTAATAATTCAGGACTGCTGCACGCATCCATCTCTCACCAGACAGCAATAGATGGAAATTACCGGTGGACTGATGCCAATTCCGAACTGTCAGCATTCCTAAAAGCCTTTATCACAGTATCTCTGCACGAATGAGGGCAGATGGAAGTTGCCTGTGTACCTAGTATGTTTCTATTTTTAAAAATATAAAACATAGTTGTTCCTAAGACCTGTTTAACTCCTCAGTGGTGCCATACAATTTTCAGATCAACTAGTCGCATGCCTTCCTGACATAGCAAATAGCTAAGGAATGTCCTTGGGCTCAGCTGTTGTTCTAGGACATGCCTCAAACCTGTTGGATAAATGCTGTCAATGATAAGTGCTCATCAAATACGGCAAACTAAAGCTGCTGACAATGGTGCATCTTCAGAATCTCAGGCCTCGGGTTCTTCCAGGTTTATAGTGCAAACCTCATTAGAAGGCTCACTTGGAACCTGTGATGGAGACTTGGGTAGATGCAAAGCAGCCTGTTCATGCCCCTGATTTAACCCAAGATGGGGCTCTCGAGGAAGTGGGACTCCATGTCATGCTTATTAATAATCTTTACAACTTACCAACCAAAGCAAAGACCTAAGACCCAAGGAGTTCCTTTCAGTCAACAGCACGCTATATGGGGATTTCACTTCCCAAATCTCAAACTTGAATTATTTGCTGCAAATAACTTTCTGAAAGAACAGTTAAGCTACAGGATAGTTTAAAGTAGAGGTTTGAAATGCCTTGTGCTGTATTGATTCCAAGGAACAGCTTAAGCTCGTGTGATCAGGACTGGAATGTGCTTCTCAGGGGGCAGAGAAGGATGACTGTGGCACCTCACAGCATGGAAGGATCCAGGTGAGGCTGCTCTACCTGGTCTCCGCTTCTTCTTGTCCCTGCCTGGGCTCTGTTCTGCCACCCTCCATGTGCTGGGGAAGCTGGCCGTGGGCTGAAACTCTATGTAAGGAGAACATCTGTCTTCCACTATGGTGGACCAGGCTGGCCTTGGGTTCCACCCAGTGCTCAAACACTGGTTCTGTCATCAGAAAAGGGTTGAGTGAAACACTGCAGGAATCCACAGTCTACTCCACTTATGTGTTTCTGCTCATTGTTCTCTTTGGGTTGCAGGAAAACCCAAACCTGTTATTATTATTATTATTATTATTATTATTATTATCATTATCGTTATCATTATTACTATTATTATCAATCAGATAGGTGCATTTTCCCTGGAGCCAATAGCCAAGAAAGCTGTCAGGACTGAAGTGAACTTTCTTGGGCCTCTCCCTCCAGCATGACGTTCTGGGTAAGCACTATGCTCCTCCAGCCCCCTCCCCAACAAACACACAAACGTGTGCCAAGAGGAGAATGGGGCGGAAACAGCCATCTCTGAAAAGCCCTCACCGCTGGGCTGGGCAGGAGGCCGGAGTCAGGCTCACGCTGGTAGGCAGGAGGAAGAGGAATGTGCCCAAGTGCCCAAGGTGACTGAAGGGGGGCAGAGGGAGGGGCGGCACATCACCCATGGCAAACTGAGAGGCTCTTAGCAGTTGCTACCAAAACTCTGTGTCACACAAATTGCTTCTGCTTCCTCTTGGAAGACACAGGTTTGATAAACACTGATGTGTTCTCAGAAGCCCTCTTTTTTTTTTTTTTTTTGGTACTGGGGATCGAACTCAGGTCCTTGCTCTTGCAAGGCAGGCAGCGGAACCACTGAGCTAAATCCCCGGCCTTGGAAGCCCTCATTTAGAAGATGCAGCACTTCATGCAAAACTCATTGCAGGTTAAAGTACATTTCTTTACCCTTTCCCCTTCCAACTTGGCTTTGCTAAGGTCTTTCTGTACAGCAGCTGATCTTAGCAAAAGCTACAGCCCTGAGGATCTATTATTCTCATTTCTATTTTATTCTGTTCTATTATTATACTAAGTTCCCACCAAAATACTTCCCTAACTATTCAGAAGCAAATGGCCATCAATAGCTGTGAGTTACTCCAAAATGATTTAAGGGAAAAATAGAGAGGTACAGAGACCAGGAGAAGGTGAGGGAGACAGAATGATAACACAACTGTGTTAAAACGTTCTTCACAATATCCTTGCAAGTCTTTAAGTTTCAAATGATATCAAAATTGTTTTTGCCTTCTCAGCTTTTATGGAGAGTTGCTTATGTGAAAGGACAGTGAAAAAACCTGGGACTGATGCACCATTTAATGACTATCCTCCATCTGACACACTGTTTTCGCTTAGAGTTCAGGGCTCAGAAAAAGCTTGTGCTTGCTCAGGTTCTATGGTTTCCCTCAGAACCTCTCTGATGATACTTGCTGTCTTTGGTCTTTGCATGCTGTTGATGTGTCTGTGTCTTCTATCGTAAGCTTCCTTCGGTTCCTTTTGAAATTAGATGGAATATGATCTATAAATATCATCCTGCCCTTAGGGTCCTTAGGGTTGCTCTGTCCCTGGTTGAAGGACCCTTCACTATAGGTTTCACGTGCTCCAACGCCCCCAAACAACCCTCCTCTTTTGTTTCTTCCTTCTTCCTTTATTTTCTCCCTCTTTTTTCTTCCCCTTGCTCTTCCTTCACCCTTCTTTCTTTTCTCCCGTTTTCCATTTCCTTGGGTGCACGCTCACTTTCCTTGCCTGCTTCCCTGGTGAGAGCATTCTTTTCTCAAGCTGTTTCCCTTTCTGTTCTTTCTCTCCCTTCCTTCCTACTTTCTCTGCTTTCCTTTTCTTTCTCGCAGAAGAGAGTGGGGTAGAAGAGGAGAGAGAGAAAAGGAGCAGAGGAAATAAGGAGACTGTCCAGGGACATAAGCAGCTAAAATAAGCGGGGGGAAAAAACGAGGTAGGAGGGAAGGAGAGAAAGAGGAAGAAGGGAGGGAGGAATGAATGAAAGAAGAAAGAGAAAAGTGAACAGAGTATCAAACCCTGCGGCTGAAAGATAACCTTAGTGATCGTCACTGCACTTTCTGTCTCAGGCAATACATGAGTCCCTTCTGCTCGGCATTGTTGGGGTGAATCTCGCCAGCTCAGCACAGGGATGATTCCCTGGGAATGGAAAGGAGGCCACAGTCTGCAGCTGTCTTTGCACGTTCGTGTCCAGGTTTCTCCTACCACCTGGTCCAGTTCCGAACAGTACCTCTTCCGACGATGGAGCAAGAAGCTGGCTCCCCACAACTTTGATTGGCAGATGAGTTTACTTTCCCAATTCTTTGACTAAAAAATTCTTTGACACACACACACACACACACACACACACACACACACACACACACACACACAAATCTTCAGGAAAATGGAGGACAGTGTTTTTCATTTTCTAAAATTAAATATTGCCAGGCTATCAGGAAAATATAGTCAAGTAAAGCAATCCCCCCCAGACAAAAAAAGACAGTGTACATTTGGACTCAGCTAAATCTCAGCATCTAGGCATAAACATGTCAGCTGGTGCGGCTTTCAGATTTCCAATGTTGTCTTATTGGAAGATCTAAATTCAAGTCTTATTTTTTCTCCTGCCTTTAGTTTCTTAGTTTTTAGTGTTAGATCTGGTTTTTTCACACAGTTGTGTTCTCTTTCCATAAAAGGGATTAAAAATTCAAGTCAAAAACTGTAGTTATGGGCCGGGGATTTAGCTCAATGGTTCCGCTGCCTGCCTTGCCAGTACAAGGTCCCAAGTTCGGTCCCCAGTACCCAAAATAAAACAAAACAAAACAAACTGTAGTTATATCCAGGGTTTGAGAAAATAATTAGCAGTGAAATAACAAAAGTAGTTATTCTTCTTCTACACAAATCCCCAAAGAAAATGGAAGGGCAGGATAATTATATGTTAGCTCTTTAAATATTGATTCCCAAGATGAGTTTTCCCTTCTGCTACCAAAGCAGTTGTTTCTCAGCTGTGGCCTGGTCTTTTGTTGAAGTGCTTTGGTTAGAAAGCTCTGAATATTAGAAGGTTCCTCCTAACACCAAGAAAAGTCCACATTGAATTTTCTTGTCTTCTGCAAAACTCAAAGTGACCCTTTGGAGTGGCAGGAATTAAGACCAATTCTCCTTTCATGCAACAAGTCATAGGATGGCTATTGTGCTACCTCTGCCCCATCCTTTCATTTTTTTTTTTTTAATTCCCGGTTATTTCATCATTTGAATAAATTGGTTCCGAGAATCTTACTCAACTTATCTGTGCCTTCTAGACAATGCAGTTCCTTACTACATCTATCTAAGAATGTGCCTGTACCTGAGCACAATACCCCAGAGGTCACAGTCCCCCTTAACCAGCAATGTGGTTACTTTTTATCATGCATAGTGTTTCTTTTAATGCAGACTAAGTTTTTGGTTTACTTCAGCTAAAATCCTCATCTTTTACTATAGGACCTGATGGCTGGTTGTCCTAAATTGCCTTTGTACAATTATTTTTTTTAAAAACTACATGAGAGACTTTACATTTATTCATATTAAATGCCTCTTGTGGCTTTAGGACAGTGTTCTGCTAAAGGCAGCTCATGCTGCTATTCTCTCTGGCCCTGAGGTGCAGAGACCAGATGGAACAAGAAAACCACATGGGAAAAATAAATCTGTGGCCAGTGATGTCTGGCCACATTACTTCTAGGAAAAGATCTTTGGAATGTGGTTGTCACCCTGTACACTTACATTATTATACATCCATATTATGATGCATATTTCATTGTCTTTCTGTTTTGACCAGATATAAATTCTTACAACACGCATAGTACACAAATAGACTTCTGTGCCAAAGGAGTCAGTCAATATATAATACACAGAAAAGTGGGGAAACCCACACTCCTATTCCTTCCCAGAACTAACTACAGGAACTGTGTGCCTTCTATTGATGTTCATGAATGTGGCTGTACATATATGTATATTTTTAATACAAATGAGATCATGCTAGAAGCACTGTTTGTTGACTTTTTTCCAACTTAGCTATTATCTTGGTGACTTCAATAGAGAATACAGCTCTACCTCTTGCTTTCAAACTATTTCTAGTTTAACTGTGACATAATTTGTTTACCCATAAATAATGACTCAGATTGCCATCGTGTTGCTCTCCACTCCATTATTATAGACTCTAATGAAGACTCTATTGTAGACTTTTGCTTTTGCATGCAATTCTGTGCCTGTTTACAAATATTCAAGGAGAAGCACTTGAGTCAAGGGGACTGTATGTGTATGAAATGATATCACCTCATTGACATCTACCAGTTGCATCTCCACAAACCTTGGTTTCTATTCCAAGTAGCATATGCCAAAATACTCTTCCTTCGATAGAATCTGACTGTTCCTATAATTTAGTTTTGCAAGTATAGAACCAAACCAAACCAAACAAAAATGTTACTTGTCTTTCAGACTATTGCTTAAAGAATATGTGTGCTTATCTTCAGATCATCTTCTCTTCTTGGCAAATGAAGGAAATCCCCAAACTAAAGCCAGTAAAATAGTAGAGGGGGAAATTCCAGATCTCTGCATCCCTGTGGAAGGTAGCACAGAAGCAAGAGAGGGGGTGACCTGAGCTCACACCCATATCCTTTCTGAGATGATGCTGATTCCTCACAGGCCCCTGGGCACGGACCCAATGCTTTTCAGGCTTGTCTACCCTCCAGGGGAGTTTCAAGCAGTGCAGCCAGCACACTCCATCAGCAGGGTTTGGCTCCTGGAACCAAGCACTGAGCTGTGAGGCTAAGCTCGCTTATTTGAAAATGGCAACCTTGGTGGTGCCTGAGTTCCCTCACTTGTACAAAACACAGTATATCCCAATCACAGTGAGTGGTTGTGATGGTTAAATTATATACTGATAATGAGAAAATTGATGAGCAAAGCGGATGGTAGACTGAGCGCTCAGTGGTTAGCCATCATCATCATCATCTTCAGCATCATCATTACTTCTACTCCTACTAAGTCCATGTTAAGTCAGAGGCTTGGCAAAGACTTGGGTCTTCCTCAACAGAAATGAAGGCCTGACCTGCTTGGCTCAGTGTGACAGCTCCCAAGGCAGCGTGTCCTTATCCACCTGGGAGTTCCTGATAGCCCAAGGTGGTATCCATCACCTCTTCCTTGTCTTTCTTAGATGGCCCCAGGATGGCACCTCAGCCTCTGGAGCAGGGGTCTGTCATGGATATCTAAGTGATTTCCCTTGCTAGAGATCATTTCTGTGGGTTCAGTTTACAGTTTGGCAAAATGGCAATGACAACAGAGCTTATTTCTGGAGCTCGAGTGCAGCATGCGGCGCAAATATATACCAGGCCTTTAGGATGGTGCCTGGCACATGACAGGTGCTCAGACATCAGCTGTCAGCATTCCTCCACAGGAGACCGCTTGCTGCAGCCTTTAAAAGGCTTGTCTCATGCAACCATCTGCTCTTGGCAGAAGAGCTCAGCATCAATAGCCAGTGTGTGACTTCCTCCAAGCCCCAGATGGCTGCTCGGCAGTACTTTCTCCTCACCTCATTTCAGCTCACCCAGAGGTGCCCACATCAGGCCCCTTGAGGTAGAGGCAGTTCTAGAGCAGGAGGGTAGCCTGCTTCCCGGAGATCTTACAGAGGCCACACTAGGCTCCTTGCTTCAAGTGAGGCTCTTGGCCAGTCCCTCCGTGGCTTCTACAGATGTTTTTCATTGTCGTGGTGCTGAGGCTCCAGGACAGCACCATGCAACACCCTGCCAAGATGAGCTGAGGCGATACCACTCTGTGCAGTGAGAATGGGAGGAAACTCCAGGGAGAGCTGTTGAGGCCTCCCAGGGACATGCAGGGATGGAGCAATGCTGTTCAGCTTTCCAGAAGTTGCCGTGTTGCTTTCTTGCAGTCTAACTTTGGGTGAAAATGTACATGGCCTCAGACCTGAGGCGCATGGCAACTGAAAGCTCACTGAGGGGAGCTGATCCTCTCACAAGAGGCTGAACCAGAAGCAGGGGAGGGAGGCCATCGGCTCTCCCTTCTTAAGTCCCAGGGAGGAAATTGCTCAAATGTTCCTCAGCCCAAATGAACAGTAAGATTCCATAGTCTCTACTCCAGTGTCAATGCCTATGCTATTCTCTTTCCCTTAATGCTGAGTCAGTCCCCGGTGGACTGTGCTTTCTATGGGGTTGTCCACAGAAGAAGGAGAGTTTGTCAGTATCTGAGCCTGGAGACCATGGCACTATGGTCTGTCCAGGGACCTCCCAGTGCAGCAAGCATGGGCCTGAGCCCCGAGTCTCAAGTCTCAAAATACATCCCAAAGGCTATGGGCTAAAACAGAACCACCTCACAGTAAAGATACACAAGGGACTCTGGACTCATAGGGGCCACATTTCTCTCTTCTCCTACTGCTAGGCTCTGAGCACATACCTGAGGCTCCCTGCAGCAGATCAGAGTGGTGAAGTTCAAATACTCAACTAGGAATATGCACACCAACAAGTTTGAGTGCCACATGCAGAACAAAGTGCCCAGCTAACTGGTGGGGGGGGCGGTCCTATTCTCTGATATTATAATCATAATCTAGGGCCTGTGCTGATGTGCCACTGTCCTCTTAGAGTCCTATACCTCAAAGGTAGTTGGAGACAGGAAGGGAAAGAGCTGATATCCCCCAAGGGATATTCGCCATTTACAAGGGCTGTTCGCCATTTACATCTTCCGCTTCATTTATTTCTCCTACTCATCTTATAAATATTAGTAGTTTCAATCTATGAATTATTAGAAGATTAGAAACAGAAACTATTTGACAAAGTCACACAGGTTACAAATAAGGAAGGTTGTGGGTCCATTTTGTGCTGCTATAACAAAATACCTGAAGGTGGGCTATTTATAGAGGTTTGTTTGGCTCCCAATTCCAGTAGCTGGAAGGTCCAAACAATACGGTGCTGGCAGCCTGGCAAGGGTCCCCTGGCTTCATCACAGCATGACAGAGCCATAAAAAAGGAAGTGACCATATTCAGAAGGACCAGCCAAGTGGAGTGGGCTCAGTTTATAAGCTATGCTTGTGAGGACTAATGCAGTCACAGCCTAACTCACTCCTTGAAGACAAGAGTTAACCATTTGTGAAGGTGGAGCTTCCATGACCTATTATCTTCCCTAGTTTCTACCTCTTAAAGTTTCTGCCATCTTCACACTGCCGTGCTGGGTACCAAGCTTCCAGAACTTAGGGGTACAAACCACACCCAAACCTCGCTGGGGTGGGGGCAAGATTTGAACTCAGATCTGAAGGCTCTGGAGATCATTCACAACATGCCAGTGTTGCCTCTCACCACGAATCTTACGAGGCCTCTCGCTTCTAACTCTACACTAAATAGAGACTTCTTTAATACTATTATGCCCGCTAAAGACCTGAGCTGCCCACTGCGCTCCCCAGCCAGGTGAGCTGACTCTGTTCAAGGGCCCAGGGCCCTACAGGCAAAGCCATTCTGGTTCCAGGGCTGGAGGTGATTCGAACTCTCCCCGTCTCCCCATGTGAAGTACTTTAGTCTGCCTAGCACAATATAATCTCCTCAGTTCACAACCAGATCTGGGAGAGCTTGAAAAATCTTCCTTTAAAACAGCAGCTGAAACGCTGGAGGGTTGGCATGAAGCCTATGTACAGTTTCAGGACTAATCTGCTGTGCTCAAGCCTATTACACGGAAATTGCCATAAAATTCACACTATCCCAATAGTGACAATTTTATTTAGAAGCAAGACAAATTGATGATATCATAGGCCCTAGTGCCAAAAATCTTAGCTCAGTATTTCTCAAACATTCTGTTTACAAGACCATTTTATACTCTTAAAAGTTATTGTAGAGCCCAAAGAAATATTGTTTATCAAAGTTATATCTATCGGGGCTGGGGATTTAGCTCAGTGGTTCGGTGGCCTGCCTTGCAAGTTCAAGGACCTTGAGTTCAATCCCCGGTACCACAAAAACAAACAAACAAACAAACAAACAAAAAAACAAAGTTATATCTTTCGATGTTTACAGTGTTAGAAATTAAAGCTGAAAAATGGAAAACATTTACCTTTTAGTTCATTAAAAATAATAAACTTTATATGTGTTAACATAAATAATATAGAGAAAATAGATTTTTCCAAACGAAAAGTATTTAGTCAGACAAACACATTTTACGTTTTTATAAATTTCCTTCATTTCTGACTTAATAGATGACAGCTGAATACTCCTATCTGCCTCATGTTTCAACTAGTGTGATGTCAACCATCATTTAGGCCCTGGTAGCCTTGGAGGAGGCTGACAGTGAGAAAAACAAAGTATCTTAGGACGGTAGTTTTAAGTCTGTGCAGCCCCTGAGCAGATCCCGGCCACACTCCCCAATGGGGTTGCAGAGACCTTCCCTGAAGGCTCCCTAGACAACACTCTGAGGATCGTGGTCTAGACTTTGGTGAATGATGTGTCTTTGACACAGGAAGTTGGCTAGAGTGTGGGGGTGGCTCTGAAGGAGCAATGTCCCAACCACCAATTTGAAGTGAAAAAGCCCAAGACAAGAAAACAAGAACAGGCACATTCAGGCAGTACTGCAACCCCGCTGAGCTGGCACACAGTGGCTACTGCCAGATATCTGGCCAGAAAGAGGTCACCTTCCCACTCAGATAATGCAGCTTAAACTGAAGATGGACTGGGAAGAAGAGGCAGACCTGGTGGTACCCAAACCCCAGCTGCCCAGAGTCCAAGGGCTGGATGAGTGAGGCAGCTGGGAGAACCTCCCTGGGGGGAAGAGATAAGAGGGGTCCTGCTCAGGTGTGTGCCAGGAGACATCTGAGTCACAGCTTGAAATCACAGTGGCTCTTTGGGTGGCAGCTCTGCCAACATCAGTGGTGATGAGAATAATATACTGTATTACCAATAACAGAAGAACTACCGTGCATTGAGCACTTTGAGCCAGGCACTGGTGCCAAGCACTTGACATAAATCTTTTCATTACTATCTCAA